TCAGTGCGACGCAGATAGGGGCTCAGCAGCACCCTGTGCCCCCCCAGCATCACCCTCCACACCTCCCGCATGCTCCAGACCTGCCCCATCCCGTCACTGCTGCCACCTTCGAGGGAAACCACTATCCACACCAGATGGTACTGAGTTAACATTTACACCCTAGCGCTGCCACGGTACGGCTTTGCTTCTGCTTCAGCTCCCTGAACAGAACCAGGGCCCCCTCCCCAAGAGCATACCACGGCAAGGTAGATCCTATGGGATCTCCTCCCAGGTGGGCGGGAAACCTCCAGCTACTAAAGAAAGGGCTACAGGACCACTCTTGTACTGTACTCCCACATCCAGCCTCAAGCTAAGCAGCTCCCTCCTCCCTCCCAGACCCCTGTCCCCCTGCACAGCAGCCACTGGGAGCTCGCTGGGGAGCACCACAGCCCTTTATGCAGGACTCACACACCTCAGCCAGTCCCTTCTCTGCCCCAGAGCACAAGGGGCACAACCCACCTCTGGAACCACTAACACCCCTGCTCCCACAGCTCCCGGGGCTGGAGGGGATCCCCAGCACTGCAGGCCAGCCCTGGGAAACACTGCAAGGGAGCCAGCCCAGAGCGGGTGCCAGAGCAGGGGAACCACTAGATGTCCCCAGGGGAGGTGCCATGCCCTGCTGCAGGGAAGCTCAGTGCCCTGCCAGGTTTGGGGAGCTGAAGTTAATCCACATGTGCCAGGATGGAGCTGGCCACCCTGGCAGCCTGCCCCTGCTGATGCCATGCCTTGTGCTGCGCAGAGCCTTGTGTAGATGTTTCTGTTCTTGCAATAAAGGTATTAAACAAAGAGGAGGTCTCCAGCCTTTTGACTGTTGTGCAAGGTGGGCTGTGTCCACCACTGGGAATACAACAGAACAAGGCTCTTGGGAAGGATGAGTTTTGCACATCCGGCTCTTTATTAGATTTTTATTAACAGAGAAAAACTATGGAAGGTTTCGTAGAAATGGGGAGCTAAGGGTTGAGCAGGGAGACCTCCAAAGCACAGCACGTGTTCACTCCAGCTCCCTAAGGATCCTGAGACCAGCAGGATGCCTTCACACCCAGGAGGGTGGGCAGAGAACAGCTTGTTGTGGATCATCACTGTGGTGCTGCCAGGGCAGAGGATCCCTCCTCCGGGTGAGGGCAGGGTTGTGCGTATGGGACACCCCTCACAAGAGGCAGGATGTGTGCTGGGGCAGGAGAGCAGGATCCCACCCAGCCCAAGCGGACAGACCTCTGTTTGAGGGGTCTCTCTGTAGGGGCACAGCCTTCATTCAAGGCTGGTATGGGGCTTCATTGGAAAAGCTCCCCACTCCTTTCCCTGGGCTGGGTCTTTCTCTCTCAGAAGCCCCTCCAGGGGTAAAGGCACGTCAGGCTGTTCTCTGGGCAGCACATTTCTTTTTGGCAAGTGCTGGGACTTGCACCTTAACCCAGGCAGAGAGGATCCAGCCCCCAGCCAAGGGCTGCAGCACAAGATACCACAGCAAGCACAGTGCTCCTCCACCCACAAGTGGGACACACTTGCCTGGAGCCTGCAGATGAAAGGGACATCGGGATGTGCGTCCCAATGGGATGTGTGTCACCAGCACGCCGGTGACAGTCCTGACTGCCATTCCCATCGGCAGCACATGCTTCAGCACCACAGGTCCCACCAGCTCTCTGCACTTCAGATGGTGATGGAGTTAGTGCTGGAGAACTGAGATACGTAGGAAGCCAGGATGGGGTTGGTGGGAAGGACTTTGATGGGCAAATCCCAGCTGAAAGTGTCCACTTCCATCTGCTCCACCCCAGTCCAGATGATGGCCTCCGACTGGCTCCCACGAACCAAGCAGTTCCCTGCTGACTCGCCGGAGGTCACAAACTCAAAGTGCAGCCTCCACTTCAGGGATACTGTGGGCAAGATGGGGGGTCAGCAGCCAACAGCACAAGGGACAGGGACAGCAGCTGCCTCAATGCTGTGTCCTTGGGGATGTCACTGGACAGCAGCTGTCCAATGCTGTGTGCAAGGGGACACGCAAATAAACCTGCTCCCTCCCACAGGACACAGTCCTCCCATGGGGACAAGCAAGGGGGAGTCCCTTCCCTGGTGCCACTAACCGATGTTGGTGGTGAATCCCGGGGTAGAGCTGAGAGGGATGGGCAGGCTGAAGCTGCTCTGGGCTGTGTGCAGACAGGCCTCCTGATGGCGGGCGTGCGTGCTGAAGGACACAGGCTGCCCGCGCCGGCGCTGGAACTCCTCCTGGATGCTCTCCTCTGTCTGCAGGCTCACTGAGAACTGCAGGGCAGCCATAGAACGGTTTGGGTTGGAAAGGACCCTAAGCTCATCATCCCATTCCAACCACCTGACATGGGAAGGGACACCTCACACTAGGCCATGCTACCCAAGGCTCAGTCGAACCTGGCCTTGAACACTGCCAGGGATGGAGCATTTACTTCTTTGGGCAGCCCATTCCAGCACCTCACCACCCTCACAGTAAAGAACTTCTTCCTTATATCTAAT